CTTCGTGCTCGCACGTCCCTAACTGAATTAAACTTTCGAAACACCGCACTTAACTTTATGGATTAATAAAATTAGGCCACATTTTTTCTGCCGTTCCATCTCTGTCTCGCACATCCGAAAAGCAACAAAACAACAGCAGCAACAGCAGCAAAGGGCTAACACATTTTTTTTTTCAACGAACTCAGTCCGTATCTATGTGTGGGCAAATTAAATAAGACATAATTTCAAAAGTGATTTTATTGCCATTTGCATGGAATTATACACGCGCGAGTATAATAAATGTTTCCGGTTCTAATATCGCATGTGTGTAACTTATCTTATGTATTCGCCATTACATCATTTTTCATACCGGGCGGCCATAAAATGGACGCGCATAAACATAAATTTCATATATATGCGTGGAGTATAAAAATAATCTATATTATAATAAAAAGCGTTATTTACCGATGTTTTTTCTTCTCCTCTTTATGTATTTCTAGGTGGTTTACGTTGATGTAACTGCTTTTTATTTATGTAAGTTATGGTTACTTTTATTTAATGGATCTGGAATGAAGTGGAATAATTAGACGATAAGGAAACGACTTAGGGTTTATAACTTAGTATATAATTGGGGCTATATTAGTCCGCTGTTTCGAGCTTTAATTACAGATATAAAATTTAGTAATCCTCAACACTAATTGGTAAATCAAAATTCAGCAATTAGAGACAGACATCACGTGTTTGCATTTGCTTCTGGGAAGGGGGTTGAAAACTGGGAGGTCCTCCCCTATAAAGGATGAGTTATCATTAAAAAACACTCAAGTCCTTCGATTTAAGCTGCCGAGGTCTTAAATTAATGGAAGAAGTATTAGGGCTCGGATTTTGGATGAGAGTAAATATTGGGCGGGAAAATCTCTCCACATAAATGTTTTGCCTCCGCTTCCGCCTATCATCAAAGTTTAATTAATTATTCGCCCCTTTTTCTCCTTACTTTTATTCCTTACTCGCTGCGTACTTCTATTCATTTTACGATGTGTGCTTTTGCACAGGAAATATGCAGTTTCCGTTCTGGGCTATGCGTTCCGCAGCTTCTTTTCAATTACTGCTTCTGCAGGATGCAAATCGTGCTCCTGGTGCGATTCCTTTTTACTCAACGCTTCCTTCTCCTCGAGCACTTGCGTTTCAGCTTCGACGACAACTTTTATTTTATTTTTTTATTAGTATTTCCATTCGGTGCTTTCTCAAGAAAACGGTTCAATTATTGAGCTATTTTTTCAATTTCCTTTTGCTTTGAATATTGTTAGTTAACATATAAGTTTTTCAATGGCGAATCTAAAATTGCATTAAGTCTTCTCAAGTTTAATAGGAATTTTCTTAATTTCCTGCATAACAAAGGCGCCACGGTTTTTCCTATTTTCCGGCTTGTTTGGCTTCGAAAAAGTTTGCGGATAATTGGATCTGGTCGCGATAAATGTTTTTGTTTCATTTCGCTGCGCTTTAATACCCACAGAATATTCACGAGAACTAATCTTTAGAACTTAACTCTAATCTTAGAAAGTGAGCTCCAAGTTTCTTATTCATATTGAGATTTCATATTTATTATTATTAAATCCTGTAACGCAACACAAAAAAAGTTATAAAGATTTATAACATTTTTTTTTAACTATTATAATCCCTTGCAATCAATTATTAAATGCTAACGCAACACAAAAAAAAAATATAAAAATTTATAACTTTTCTTTAACTATTTTAAATCCATTGCAATCAATTATATTAAAAACTAATAATTATGTCCAGTTTCTCATAATAAACAATTTTGTGAATAAACATAGTAAATCTATAACCGGGGTTAAGATTAAAGTAAAAATATGAATCCCTATTTACACTAAGTTTTAAAGCTTACAAAACTAAGTTGAATTCCCAAAATAGATGATTTTTTTAATCCTACGGCAGGAAACTTTATGTGGTTTGTCCTGCGGTTTCAATGTAAAAACGTCTGTGGGTTTTGTGGTGATTGTAAAGAGTCGCAGACAGAGAGCAAAGCAGGGAGAATGTTTCTCCTATTATGAATTTTATGAGTGTATTTAGGCCTTCGGCAGGATTCCGGTAGCTGAGCTGAGTCATAGACGGCAAAGTTGACCATTAAAGGGGTTAAACGTGTTTGTTTTCCCATGTATTTACTTCGGGTGGATCCCAAATGACAGTCATGATCAATAATGGACGATCTCGAAGCGTGTAACCGAATCCCCCGGATTAGGGAAGAGACACGCACTTGAACCCCCCTTCTCGTCCACCGGCCCAGCCCTGCATCTCTCTGTATTTTATTATTTTCTAATCCTACCGGAGAGCGAAAAAAAAATTATAAAGTATACACAAAAATTCTTATGAAAAATTCAGCTGAAAAAAATTACTGGGATCGTCAAAAAAAAAAACAACAAATACAGACGAGGGAAAAAAAGCAACTGGCTCTAATGGAAGTAGCATGCTATTCCAATTACATTTTAATTTGCTACAGCTTCAATTTAATTAACTGAATTATTTACATTTGATTTGGAAGGTAGAGAAAAAAAAAAACAAAACGAGTTTCAGTATATTTCAACACGTATTCCCTTTTTTTACAATCCCCCTTTTGTTGTTGTTATATACTTTCGAGAATATATCAACAAATATTCTATTTGCTTTTCATTGTATAAGTAAACTTTTTTAATGAAATAATGTTAAATAAATTCGCAATGTTTTGTATATTAATGTACAGTAATACCTCGCATTCCGGACTGTTTGAAACTGGACGAGAAATTAGATAAAATAAAAACCGAATGTGTACATATTATCTGATTTGATAAAATACATTTTTACTTCTTGAAAATTCTTACTGCAAAATATCTATAGATAATTTTTTTTTTATAATATCAGCATTTTTCATAATCTATAATACTTTTACTTTCAGAGTCGAAGGTCGCTCAAAGCTAAAGTATCAGATTCCTTAAGATATACTTCTTGATGTTTTTGTGTGTTCCCTCCTTGATCCCCTTGATATATGAACTTCATTTTATCTTCCTTACATCAATTGATCTTTTTACGGCTTAGATACCCATGTAAAATATGTTCCTATCTTTGATCTATATTCGAATATACGACAAATCGCGGTTGTACAACATATCGCATTTTAAAACTTTCTATTTTAACCATGATAATAACTCAAATCAATACTATTCGTACTACCTTTATCTATGTACATTAATTCTGAATTTTATATATATATTATAAGCATTGAATAGTAATTAAAGACTTAAATATTAATATATGTATACAACAATTAAATCTAATTGGTTAATCATTAAATACAATTAATGCTTGATGGATGACCATAATTCCTTCGACTGTACAAAAATTTCATGTCCATCATGTACCTAATTGGAGGACTGTTTGGAAACAACAGCGTTTTTTTTGTTCGGTAACCGAATCGTTTTGTAACTGTTACTATTAAAATGATAAGGATATCAAAATATGGTTTCATCTATGAGGCCAATAAAACAATGTAAATGTATTGATATGTATTTGATGTTTAAAAAATGATACAAAAAAATAACCCTTTGGGGGTGAACCACGACCTCAAAATTTATATAAAAATATATATGATAGTAGTCACTGTTCGAAAATATTAAACTGTCAATTTGGGGTTATTTAGTTTTCGCATACTGCATTATTATTTATGATATTGCATGAGCAATAGCGTAACAAAAAAAATGTATTTTTAAAAATTGTAAAGCCATAACAGAATGTGAATTAACAATTTAAAAGCGAATAACGTGCTTCAGTCTACCGACCCATATATACATATATATTTGAATTGAATATGTTTCATAAAATATATTCCATGAAACAATAATTACCTTAGTTAGTAGGAAAACCTCCATTATTTATTTTTAGTTGTTGTTTTATTAACGCGGTACAAATGGTATAGGAGGGTGAAGCTTCGGTGAAGCCCACACACACATATAGACAAATCATCCATAAAATATTTTGACTCAATTGTAATTGAACATAAATTATGATTGAATGCTATTATAACGGATCGCATCAATAAATACAATGCCCGGTCTTTAATTGGCTCTAAGGTCGCGCCCAACTTGTTTGCAACCCTTCCCATCCCATTTACTAATACCAATGCTAATACCCATTGTGACTGATGGGAATTTAACTGTTGTGTACTTAAAATGTGCATGTATAAGTAATGCGGGCATTCCCATTATTCTCATCTCTTCTACAGTCTATATTCTCATCTTATTAGATGAATCGATCATCTCCAATTAAGTAGCATCTCTCTTTCTAGCGTTCTAAACGATTTTTAATGTGGGAACTTATACTTATACTCTCCACGAAATCATCTTAACAGCGTACATTCGATTAAGTGGTCACTGTAAGTTTTAACCACGAAATTCATTCATTTTATTAAGTAATATTAATTAATTGGTCACTATTAATATGATTTTTTTCAATTAAGTTAAATTCCACATGCGTAGAGATTAATTAATATTAATCGCCTAATATAAGATATAAAATGTAATTATGATTCTAAAACATCTGTTCATTATTGTTAATATCTTTTTTATTACAGACTGACAAATCTTTATGTTTTTTTTTTTGAAAGTGAAAATATATATATTTTTGAAATTAGTTTTTCCGCTCAATGATGCACAGTGTTTCTCTCGAGAAATAATAAATGAAATTACAATTTAGCCCCAGAGACAGAGCGAAAGAGGAAAAGCTAGTCGGGGTCCACGTACGTGGAAAAAAAAGGTGCTGTTTCACTGTGAAAGTAATATTAAAATTCATTTCGTTGCTAAGCTAACAACAAGTGATATATCATGTAGACTAGGTAGACACTACATAATGCAATATAACTGGGATTTTTATTCGTTTAATGCATTTTAAAACAGGCGAGAGAGAATCCTGCCGGAGGCTCAAGTGTTGGTGATGTTCTTGTTGCGCCATTCTAGAGTTATTATTTATTGTTTCAGATGGCTTGGTGATGGACAGCGCTGCTGGCACACTGGGCCGTAGAGGTCCCAAGAGTAACACAGGGATGCGGCGCCAAAGAAGTCTGGAATGGAGGCAGGAGAGAGGCTACAGCTCCAGCGAGGAAGAAATCACTACCAGACCAGTAGATAGCCATGTGTTTGCTTCCCTCCTAGCACAGGCTCAGCAGGAATATCATTGTAAGTACTATGATATAATCCAAATACAATCACATAGATTTGAAATGTCACAGGATACATTCCATTCCCTTAGATTAATTAAAGTAAATATGAAATAACGTTTAAATGTATATAGATTTATATTAAACAGATTGCTGAGTAATTTCAGTAAAATTATTCAAATCTTTACGTGGAAGACACAAATCATAAGAAATAAATAAAAGAATTTAAATATTTCAATGGATTGAACGGTTCTCAAACTTTCGAATCTGCTTTTTTCCATAAAAGTATCATTGCGAATAAGAAATGTACTTACAATACACTAAATATTGCCTTGAATAAACTGCAACGTAATAAGGCAAAAATTGCAAATATATTCAAATTACTCCGCGGACTACAAAATTCTCATGATATTATATTAATACTTTATAAATATTATTTATAACTTTTGGAAAATACTGTTTTATAATAAAACTCATATATACAATGATTCCTTCAATTAAAGTTAAACTTCTCACATATATTTAACTATCATTACTGAAAATGAAACAAAAATATCGTTATAATTAAATTTCTGTTAGTGATTTCATAAGTATTAAATTAGTTGAATGTTTACTATTACATCATTTAAGATCTTAGTTCGTTTTAGTATAGATCTTTATGAATGCCAATTCTATAATTGATTGTTTTTAATGTCAATGACATTTATTGCCAGCGAGTCAATAAATTAGCTTAAATCACCATTCCTGAAGTTTTTATAGTCATATGAATTCTTTACACTAAATTTCTTTAGCTCTTCTCCGCAAACTAAAGTAATTGCTGTAAAAGTCAGCGATGTTTACAGTTAAATGTAATATATCGACGAGAGTAATAGCTAATAGCATTTGTCCAGAATAAAGATTGCTTTTATTTCCGCATGTATACAATGTTGCCTTCGAAAATAAGAGATCTGTACGACACGTAATTGCAGAGTGAAATGATGTTATATCGCTTTTGTGTTGTAAAAGTGAAACAAGTAAAAATAGAGAGAATGGACTGCCAATTTGGGCGCATTGAAAATTTAAAATATGGAGTTTGATATATAGTTTAATTAATGCGCATACAGGGGACAATAGTTAATTAGGGGCGATGTATTTGGGATAGGGTAGCGACTAAAAATTCGAAATAATTTCCATAAATTACACACTGGCGTGCGCATTTTGAATATTAAAGAGTAATTTTGTATGGGCTTCAATCAGGCGTCACCTACCGCTCCCGACGTCCTCCTCTGTAACCCCTGCATTCGCATCCCAGTCCTCTACCGCCCACCGTTCCCCTAGCTGGATGGGTTTCGGAAAAGTGTAGATCTCGTTAGGGTATAAGTAACAAGGGTTGGGATCCTAGCAACAAGTGGTATCATTAGACACAACACCGCGACACATTCGAAGCTGGCGGCTGCCTGCTGCATAACGAAAGCATCCAGATCCGAATTTGCATATTAGGATGAATGCGTGCGTGGTACATTCGCGGGACCTGCATGCCAATTACCCAGCCCGGTTCCCCGATAATTGCTCACCAAATTGATTCCACGTGTGAATTTGGGTACGCGCGTTTTACACTCTGCCTCCGCCACCGCCTCCGACGCCAACCTCCGACACACTCGTAATGCCCGTCCCATGTTGATTAGCGTCATGAATGCATTACGAATACAGCTAATTAGAACTGTATGTCAAATGATATATTCCTCTCTGTAATTGCTGATATACCGTCCATATTCTATAACTATATACTTGCCAATTAAACGATCAGATTTCTATGTCAATATATTCGATGCCATTATGCACTATAGTCCAGCTATCTGCTATTGTCGTTACCATTCGATACCATTGTCATGCTCTCTCTCATTATCCCCTCATACCGACTACTATTATTAATCTAATTAACTTATTGTCTGCGTTCGAGCTAATCGCCTCCATTCATTACTATATATTTATATTATCAATATTTGTCCGTCAACCCAATTACATATCTATATTCGACCAAAATGTTATAACAATATTAAATTGCACAGTCTCATTTACTTTATATAACTATTTATTAAGAAATTATATAAAGCTAGTTTTAATTCAAGATCTTTTAACAACATGAAGAACGCCTTGCGTTTGCTAAACCCTGATTATTGCAAGCAATCATCCAGAGCATTTTTAATTAACCACCAATTATCGACTTGCGCGGAGCTATTTTCCGAATAATACTTCACTTATAATTTCGCTTTTTTTTTACTATATAAGACTTTAATCAGCAAATGTCGGCTGTTCTGATATTCTCTGTGAAATTAAAATTCAGCTTTGGAAATATATGAATGGAAAAAAAAACTATATTCGTTCCACACGATCAATATTTATGCAAGTACTATGTCTTATAGGTTTTTCTTTTTTCGTCAGTGACACGGAAGCATGATTGATGCTGTCTACTTTAACTTTAGGAGTAATGTTCGGCTATTAGGGTTTTAAAGAAAGAAACAAAACAAAAAATGAATACAAACTTTCATTGTAAGTTTCAAAGGGCATTTGCTTATTTATTTATGAAGTTAAATAAACGTTACAATAACGAATGTTTTAGAAAGTTATTTGAGAGATATCTCATTTATTAGAAGGATGATGTGTAATAAATTGAAAAAAATATACGTTGAAAAAGTTGCTATTCATTTTTCTTGTTACCTAACTACGATTTTCCTATATAAATTTAATATAAAATGAGTAATGTACCATGTCACGTATAATTAGATTTTACGCTTGATGGAGTTATTGGATTGATGGAAGAAATATGCGAAAGATATTCCGAAAATCTGAACTCAAGAGAATGTTATTTTACGCTGTATCTAAATTCCACTAGTGTTCTTGGAGGGTGGTTTTGTCGTAGTCATGGTGTGCATGCGACGGAGGGTGAGTAGAGACGAATACAGAGAAGAAGAAAAAAAACGTAAATGCCGTTCCTTATATTTTTTTTTCTTATCTTATTATTCTCCCTGAGAGCTGGGGTCGGTATTATAGTTCCGAAACGTGTGGTGTTTTTGTTTTCGGTATCATTAGTTTTCTTGTGTGTGTGTTTGTGGATTGGGTGGAAGAAGATGGTTTGAGTTGAAGGACAGCATGTTTACCTCAGAGTCGGCAATTGATCATTTATCAACGCCGTCGGATGCGTACAATTCCTGCGGGCCATGTGAAGATATCGTCTACGCAGGGGTGGAAAGTCCCAACATGCTGGCGGCTTTTAATATGTGTAGTCCCAATATCCGGGAACGACCCTCTGTGCACACGATACAATTCTGGATGCTCCAGAATCGGACAGGCGAGTATCATTCTTATATGTTTCATTCCGCCTCAGAGCATTTCCAATTATGAAAGTGTTCCTCGCTACCTTTACCTTTTCATAACGCTTCAAAGAATCATAGAGGAAAGAATATTTAGAGGTACAGACGGTCAATCAACTCCCAGCATACGCAACAAGCGTGCCCTGTAGAAGTGGTGATGGTTGGAGCGTCACCGTGCAACAGGACTGTAGTCATGGTGATGTCTACTTGGACAATGGAAGGGTCAAAACAACATCCCTCCGCGTCCCCCGCCGTTGTCGACGGCGACGAAACTCCGCTCCACCCAAATTGATCCCTGATGTGGCGCGACATAGCGAACTGATTGATTGGAAAAACCTCCGGAGGAAATTCCACCACTTAATTAAACTCCGCCAGCCTTGATAAACAGAGCTACGCCCCACTATCCTCCACCCCTGAAAACAATTTTATTCCAATACATTTCCGAAGTAAGCAATGTATTTTGAATAATTTATGCAGCGCATCAATTCGGAATTCTTTTCCCCACAATTTCAACTGATATATAAATATTTAAATCGTAGTATTCGTTTTCAAATGTAAGAATATTCTTTGAAGCTTAGCTGATGTCGGGTTGGAAAAACTAGTGAGCGAAAGAAAGGCGGAGGTGAAATCAAGAAAACTGAACGAACCAAATAGCAAAGTACTTATCACTTTAAAAGTTCCGAATCCAATGCTTTTACCAGGATTCTTCCAATAGAAAATAGATATAGGTGGAAGTGGTATTAAGTTTCCCTTTCAGCCGCCGTTTATTAAACGTGCGAGCAGGAAAAGAGGTTACGAGTTTCTGGAAGAGTGAGATCTCGTAACGGCTCAGAGCCAGTGAAGAAGGGGGCGACGACCAGAGAAGAGGTGGAGGGCGGCCTTGATGGATGAGGTTTCCACGTCGACACCCGGCCATGGTCCGCGTACCCACGTGTCACGTTCCCGATTTGTGTTACCGCAGATCGAACTGCCCCCTTGGGACCCACCCTGCTCCATGTTATTACACTTGCCTTTTTGTTTTCCGACGAATTATGCACTCCAGACTTTCAACAGCAGATGCCTGCCATTAAAAGGGAAACGGACGCGCGACGATCATCCTCGAAGGTTAACTCCAGTCCCAAGATGATCATTAACTAGTTACCCTCCGACAATTTAAGGCCGCAAGACAATAAAATCTAATGTTCATTTGATAGTCATTAAAGATAAATATAACTCTCAGCAAAATAAAATTTATTTCATTTGAAGTATACAAAAACACAACTTAATTTATATACAATTAATGCCCATCATACTAGAAAAAGAATTAGAATAATGAAATAATGAAACATGTATATTATTAATTAACGTTAATAACAAGCTAATTATAATTAGGATTGGAATACCGGAGTGGTACAACCTGGGGCTGGAAACATAACAATAGCAATGATTTCAAACAAATGCTTACGGTTAAGCACAGTAGCCTGTAAAATGGGTCGACGTGCATTGCAGTAAAGGGTGTAATTTATTGTAATGCCTGGTGCGCTCGACGTGGTCACCAGTTGCTTCCCGAAATATTACGAGGTCAGCGGTACAAAATCGTGCGATATTTTTTAATTACAATGCCGTAACATGTATCAAATTTTCCAAATACCTTTGGTACGCTTATGCCCTCAAAGGAAACTATTTTTTT